AGAGAGAGAGAGAGAGAGAGATAGAGAGAGAGAATGTTTTACGGAGCGGGTTGTCCCAGCCCGTGAGACAAGTATTTACTTGGCCTAATGTCCTGTCTTGTTGTGCGTTTGCGTGAGTGTACCTAACATTTGTAACATCTACTGACATTGTAAACGACCAAGACAAATTTCTCCTTGCGAGATGAATAGAGATTGTCATTGTCATTGTCATTGTCATTTTATGTCCTTTTGAAATATAGTTAGAGTGGACTTTACTGAAAAACTTTGATTAAAGGAAGTTACCAAACTTCAACGGCTATTTTCTCGCTAATTTTACCTCTGAAACCAGGCGACCCTGAACTCCTTCAATCGAAAATATTCCGACTTCAGTTCAACATAGACGGATATTCTTTTCATCAAAGAGAAGGCAAATGAACAGGCTTTGATGGGATACCAATAACCCCATAGGTCCAGAAACTGACGAGCGCCTGATTCCACCAAGTGGAGACACAGATGTTATCTATTATTATTATTATCTTCCTCTGGCCATGTGAGCGATCGCTGGAGCTGGACAACAGATGTCCTGGCAATACATGTCCCAGACTTGTTCTCCTTTCGGTAAGTGGGTAATGAGTACTTTATTTCAGCTGTGTCGACCTGAACATGTGACCAGTTCACCAGTTTCCTTTTATTCAGTGTTTATCTCTTTGCTTTTTCAGGGAGGCATGGCGCTGCCAAGAGCGAAATGCTCGCAGCTAAATGGATTTGAAAACAACAACAACAACAACAATCTCTTTGCCATTACAAAACGCCGATGTTTTACCACCCAGTTTCTGTGGATTTCCCCCAAGTGCTTGTGATGGCTAGGGGTCGTACTATGAGCCTTGTGATAGCTAGGGGTCTTACTATGAGCCTTGTGATAGCTAGGGGTCTAACTATGAGCCTTGTGATGGTAAGGGATCTTACTATGAGCCTTGTGATGATGGTTAGGGGTCTTACTATGAGCCTTGTGATGGCTAGGGGTCTTACTATGAGCCTTGTGATGATGGCTAGGGGTCTTCTTACTATGAGCCTTGTGATGCCAAGGGGTCTAACTATGAGCCTTGGGTGGCACAGCGTTACGGCTATTGGCCCACATCACTCAAAACCTTCCACACAAAAGAGACTCCGGTGAAGCAGCACAAATCATAACTGACACACAAATCAATAACATCCTTAACCGTTTTGTGTCGTTCAACAAAGTTTTTATAATAAAATAGTATAGGTTGTACATAAATTATACCATTTTTCGTAGACTATACATTGTAATAGGGAAATTGTGGAGCTTTTTAACGGCTGGGTTGGATTAGAAAAATAAAAGGTTTAAAGACGGATGGGGTGAATAGTTTTCCTTTAAGTCCCAGAACTTTATTACAATATTATTACCCAAAATGTCTGCTGGATGCTGGTGGCCTGCCTCTGCTACTTCTTTTCCAGGAATTCCTGTGTCATTGGTTAGCCTACTATTTATTAGTGTGTGTGTGTGTGTGTGTGTGTGTGTGTGTGTGTGTGTGTGTGTGTGTG